TTTTTTTTTTTTTTTTCCTTGCGTTATGCGGGCCTCTCACTGTTGTGGCCTCTCCCATTTGCGGAGCACAGGCTCCGGACGCGCAGGCTCAGTGGCCATGGCTCACGGGCCCAGCCGCTCCGCGGCATGTGGGATCTTCCCGAAACGGGGCACGAACCCGCGTCTCCTGCATCGGCAGGCGGACTCTCAAGCACTGCGCCACCAGGGAAGCCCTAAAATTACTTTTATATTTTATTTTACTCTATCACTTAGTCATAAAATAATAATTTGAGTGCTGTAACACTTTACTCTTTAAGTCTTTAATACTTTTCTGCATCTATTCTCTCATTTGATCATTACAGTTACCTATGAGGTAGATTTAACAGGTAATCTTTATTTTACAGACTAAATTCAGTATTTGATAGAAGCAAAATTTTAGCCAGGAGCTGAAAATAGAAGATTTTATATGTCAGAATGCTGATCTTAAGTTAACTACTGAAGGGAAAAACTTTCTTCCTACTCACAGACTCAACTCTTCTGGCCACCAAATGTGTTTTTTCCCCACACCCAGGAGTTCTCCAGCTCTAGGGAGACACTGACGGGGTGTGCTACAACTTAATTTTAACACTGTCTACCTGGTGGTAACTTCGGATCCCACAAGTTAGGGACTCAGCCCGGAAAGACTGCCCCTACTTCAGATGCCAGTCGCAAGCCCCAGGTTTTGACCTATCCTTCTTACCAACCAGCTGTAAATCAGGGCTTCCCACAACCCCTTACTCAGGTTAGATCATTTGCTGTAATGGCTCACAGAACTCAGGGAGACACTTTACTTATATTTACCGGTTTCTTATAAAAGGATACAACTCAGGAACAGATGGAAAAGACACATAGGACTAGGTATTGGGGGTGGGGTCGGGCAGGGCACGGCGCATCCTTGCCCTCTGTTCTTGCCACCCCTCAGCACCTAGATGTGTTCACCAACCTGAAAGTTCATCAACTCTCCTTGTTCAAAAGTTTTTATGGATCTTAATCGCCATCGTTCCCACCCCCTTTCCGAGGGGAACTGGAGTGGTACTGAAAGTTCCCACTCTCTAATAATCACTTGGTCTTTCTGGTGACCGAGGTTCTGTAGTGGCCTCACCCTAAGTCACCTCATTAACATTAACTCAGGTCTGATCAAAAGGGGCTGCTTATGAATAGCAAAAGATACTCCTGTCACTCAAGAAATTCCAGCAGTTTGTAGGAACTCTGTACAAGAACTGGGGACCAAGACCAAATATATTTCTTATTACACCACAAGTACTAATTGCAAAGTGTATTTTTCTCAGATAGTCTTTGATTTTAAATAAAGTAAAAGGTATTCCATACTGTTTTAGATTTTCCTACCTCACCAATATGCTGCAATACTAATCCAGTCTTTTGGTACCAAAGTTTTAATTGTGATAAATAATGCTTTCTCTCCTGGAAGAACCACACAAACATGATCAGGGCTGCACTTTCAA